TTATGTGGGTTAATTTACAACGACCTAAACGCCCGATATATACTCGTAATGACGAGTTAATAGTGAAGTATCATCGATATTGTCAGCTGTTTTACCCAACGAATTAACATTTATATTAATATTTTAAATAAATGATACTTTTTGTTTTGTACTACTATTCTGTTCAATTTATTATTAATTATTTTTAATATATTTAATGTATTAATAAAAATAATACTAGTTTTATTTTTAAAAAATATATAATTAACTTATAAAAATAATAATAGTAAATAACATTTGGTTAATAACACAAATAAATATCATTTAGTTGTTGCAAAATTATGTTTTGTTTAAATTTTTGTTTAGTTTGGTTTTAGTTTGATTTTGGAATTAGTTTGGGTTTGGATTATTGCAAGTCTTAAGATAGCCTTATATCTAATTAAAAATTTCATATACTTTATTGGTAAAAATTATGCAATTATTTAATAAAATTTTACATTAATGTAGTATTATTATTGATTATACCAAAGTAATCATTATAAAAATCATTAACTTACATGTTAAATGTTATATCAAACCAAACCAATCAACGGATTGGGATGGTATTGGTGTGTTTACGGGTAGATTTAAGTCTTGGTTTTGGTTTGACTGTTGGGTTTGTATTGATTGGCAAGTCTTCAGATACTCATCGATGGGTAGACCCCCGCTCTCACGTCTCCCCTCATCGATACACTTGATATTAGTGTCAATAAACAAATTCCATTCACTTCTGGATATATTGAGATGTGGTAAACATGTGCCACTTTTAACCATCGGTGGTATTCTGCGATAACTGGTGTTTCTGCCGCCCGCGTGAACCGGCACTTCATCCAGACTTAGCAACTCTTCGTCCGCCATATTTATGGATATGAATTGCTTTTGAATGTCGGGGTTTAGTAATGTGACAACAAAATTGATTATTTTAGTAAATATTGGATTCTCATCGTATCGAATGCCCAACTGATTTCTAAACAAACCCGGTTTATTCATCATAACAATCACATCGTACCAAGAAGCTATCATGTTTGAAACAAAATTAATAGGCAAATTAATTAAATTTAAAATAATATATGTAATTGTGTTTAACCATACTCACATAATATAAAATTTTCCGGTTCCATATTCCGAAAGCTGGTACACATGACACCATTTTTGTTTTTGCGCAAAAATTCAGCAATGATGTGCACAATAAATTGCCTGTACAATGTGTCGACAGCATTGTTATTAGTTAAACGGATACAACGGCCTACTGTCCCGTAAGCGGGTTGACCCGATTTAGAGAACCCGAATTGATTTACATATCCGGTGGCAAAAAACTCCGAGGGGTAGTATTCGGGCACAAATGGCTTATTGGTTACATCGTATAATGAATTGGATAGCCAAGACACTAACTCTGGTTTGAAAGCCATTATAATTGAGTCTGGTGATAATTGATTTAGTGTTTATATGGTTGTATCAGACAATTGTTTCACTGGATCAAGTAGTACATGTGGGTTAAAAAAGCCATACGACGAACCAGTCATTCGCATCAATACAATTAATAATAATAATTTTATCATTTTAGTTTTAAACTACAATACAAGTAAAATTCACAAACAGGTTGTGAAGTCTAATTACAAATAAAATGCGTTTTACAAATACAATTATATTTACAAAACTTAATTAAATTAATGCTAATTAAATATTTTTATTAGAAATTAAAAGTTAGTATATGTACTCCTATACCTATACACTTAGAGTAGTGAAAAAATAGCATGTAGTGCCAAACGCCACAGCTTTGTGTTTCATTTTTCTCACCCACACTCTCTTTGACTCAGATCACTGCCAACGGGCAGAGCTTGTAATCAATACACGCGAACCGTTTGGCCAAATGGAAATCTTGTGCGCGTGTATCACAATCACCGGTTGTGTTTTGGCCATATGATTTTTACCATGGTTATATTTATAAATTAACTACCTGATTTTGATTAAACTATATCATTTTAAAATTTACCAAAATGTTTTAAATAATAATTTGTTAATAATACAATTTACATTATTTTTATATGTTTGCATTATATAAATGTAATTTTTGTATAATTGTATAATTTTAAATAGCATATAATTATAAAATTTGTTAATAAAATTCCTATAAATATATAAAACAATTAATACGTTTATTTTCTTAAGTCAATTATTGTTAAATTTTGTTTATAAAACTAATTTGAAATATAATAGACAAAAATAGTATTTTCAAACTTTTTAAATTAAACACTTCATTTCAAATTAAATGATTTAATTATTCACAATTTGTATTAATAAAATCCATATAATTCTATAACTATATATTAATAAATCATAAAATATTAATAAGATTTATAAACCACGAGTTAATTGATTATTAACTTTTAATATCAAAATGTAAAAATAAATTACAGCCACTTAGAAAGATGTTATACATATTGTTTTCAACTAATATTTAGTTAATTTTTAAACGATATTATTGAACAGACGTTAAATTACAATAATTATAGAATTTAGAGTTATTGATTAGCAATTAATTATCAGATTAAATATCAAACGTTATAATTAATTAGATACTTCATACAATTCAAAAGCAATAAAATTAATAAATAAATTGAATATAAACTCATATTCAAACATATATAAGCCGTGCGGGAAATGGCCAGAGAAAGAGTATACTCTACTCAACCTTTTCAACCTTAATCAAAGCGTTAAATCTATCAATGATTGTCGACTGTTTCCAATGGCCACCAACAAAATGCAGCGCGTGATTGATATACGTTCGGGTGTCCGGACTGACCCACTGGGCACGAGTGGTCAACTCGTTGGCCAACGCCAGCGTCTCTCTCTCCATCTCTATATACTTTATGACCCATCGGTTCATAGACTCTGTGAGCGATATGTTGTCCATTTGGGCCGACACTATGACACAGTTGAAGACCCCGTCCGGACTCCCGGCGTCCAACAACTCCTTATCCAACGAATACAAGTCATTACAAATCACAACCAAACGCATCATTTGAGTCAGTAATCGCTGCAAATCAGGGTTACGCCACTCGTTGTCCGGTACGTACAGATTGTCCGCGTATTCTATGAGTTGCATACACATCAAAACAGCGCCCGATTTTTCCCTAATCTAATACAACATACATAGTAAATGGGCCGCAATGAAACAAATGCTATTTATGACTTATAATTATAATAAATTTAAATTATAGATTGCATTAAAAACCTCATAAAACTCGTCAATTGTGTTGAACCGTCGCTTTTTGCCCAAATGGTAACTCTCGGCGACCATACCGTCAGTCCAGTCGCGCGTCAATTGTATGAATCGGCGTTTTTGGACTTCATTATACGCGGCACAGACCGTATCGTAGAGGGCGTACGCGCCCAACACATAGGGCTTCCAGTGGTGTGCGGACACGTGCTGTCCGGTGCCGTCGACGGCGGCCGTCAACTTATCGCATACGCCATATAATTGATCTAAAATGGTGTCCACTTCGGGCAGTCGACGACCCATCTGGCCGTCCGCGTTATCCAAGTGGTCGTCCACTATTGTGAAATTGAGATATAGTTTGACCATGGTGCACCAGCGGTCCGGATCTGTGCACAATGGGTACATAAAAGCACATTGTTTAGCAATGCAACGAATGAGCTCGAATCGGCGCTCCGGGAACAGACTGGTCTCTAATGACCACCGATCGGCCTCTCCGGCCATCGGCTCCGCACCGTATAATGGATTCAACTTTTCGGGAAATATTGACACACAATTGGCCGGCACCGGGTATTGACGTTCCGGCTTTTGATCCACTGATTGCTTAAGGCTTGACATGATCGGGGCCATTTTCGCTATGTTGTAAAGCTATTTATTAAGTGCACAGATGGAATGAACTTGTTTTAATAAAAACATATATTTCTGTGAGTTTGTATTTAGGTTTTAATTTACTTGAATATCATATTTTGTGATGTATTTTAATTAAATGTATTGAATTAAGTAATTATTAAAACGATTTACGTGTTTGAGAATATACCAAGATTTTTGTAATTATTGGTTCAAATGAAATATACATGGCCTAACCACGAATCCGTCTAGTTAAAATTCTGAAATTAGTTTCATAATTTGGGTTGACATCAATAGGCACCAGAATCCAAGTTTCATCAAGATCGGATAAATAGTCTACTAACAGGAATTTTTCAAAGTTTGTCAGTCGGAATTATTTTGAAAAATTTACAAAACAATATTTGACTGAAAATTATCTCATTTTTAAAGTAAAAATATTTTTACTAAAGATGTGTTTGAAGTGATTATTTGGTTATTAGGATTCACTATTAGTTATCTGACAATAGTTTAGTGTAGATATCGTGACATCATATACAACGGGAATCAATTGCGAACCGACCGAACACAGGCCGCCAATCGGGTTAATCACCGATTTTTGTGTGGCCACAGTTGGGGTAGCGGTCAATGTTGGCCAATGAATAGCATATTGTTGTATGCATTGAATAATAAAGGTCTCAGAAGAGGAGGGGTTTTGAATTATTCCGATTAGTATTTAAGCAAGATTAATTTAACTATGATTTCAACCATCGGTCAATACAAAAACGGACCCTTTCCCATAGGAATACATTAAAATGAGTGACTAACTTTGAAAAATTCCTGTTCTTAAACTATTCAACCAATCTTGATGAAACTTGGATTCTGGTGCCTATGGATGTCAACCTAAATTATGAAACTAATTTCAGAATTTTAACTAGACGGCTTCGTGGTTAGGCCATGTATATTTCATTTGAACCAATATAACAGTTTTTATGATATTACTTGCATTAAAGCAATGCTATTTGATGAGGCAAAGTATTGTATACACCCTTTAGTATTAGCTCAAGTGAACACATTTGCGATTTAATCCATACGGGAGTGAAATAGCAGTTAAAATATATGCATATTTCTAACCATAGGCTGACCACAAATTCACCGCTTTTTATCCCAACTCTCGGGTCAAGTCTTTAAACTCGGCGTCCATTTCAACGCTACTCTCCATCTGATCCGTCAATTATTAGTCTTTTAAATAATTGTTTCTAAAATTAAATCAATGTTAGAAATTTAAATATACCATAGTGTGATCAAAAAATCATTTATTTTAATAATTATTTATTATATAAAGGCTTAAGTTTAGTTCAGTACAATTGTTTCATAAGACATTGAATTTTATAATGCATATAAATTACAACATAGTTAATTGCAATCTAAATTATTTATTTCAATGTTACCATAATGCTAATATATAGCATTAAGCAATAGAAAAAAGTTTAATTTATAATTCCAATTTACAGCATTTGAACAATTCACTAATATTTAATAATTATCATGCATATTTATTATGGGAAGCAGACATTTGCTCGAAAACATTTGCTCGAAGGACATTTGCTCGAAAGACATTTGCTCGAAAATTTTTCATTTAATATGATGTGTTTGTTAATTTTGTCGGTTTAGTATTAGCAAGCTAGAGTGTAACTTACAATTTGTTATATACTTTAATTAATTGCATTAACTTATTATTTTAAAAACATGTAAAAGTGAATGCAGTAAAAAACTAAGTAATTGTGTCATTCATTTGATGCTTATTTTACTTTCTATACATTTGAAAGAATTTCAATCGAAAAAACTGTCAGACATTTTGAATGAAACGATTGATTATCTCTCTCTCTCTCTCTCTCTCTCTCTCTTTCTTTCTTTCTTTCTTTCTCTTTTTCTCTTAAAGTTTCAAAAATCTGTAATAATAATATTAACTATTGTTAGTAGGTTTAACCACAACTAAATGAACAAATAAATGCAATTAAAATGGAATAATACAAGAATTACATTGTAATAAAATAATTTTTAAATTGCATGTTTTAGACTAATTTGTTGCAAATATGATTAAAGCGCTGACTCCAAATACTTTGTAAGTAATTTAGCCAACAACACGACAAACGATTTGTATTGAGCATCGGGGTAGGACTCTTTCATCTCGCACTTTGTGTCCACCTTTACTCCCAACATGTGTTCAGTTCGGTTCAGTATTGCCGGATATATTTCAACACGTCTGTGTGAAAACTCCCTGAACCCATCCTGGTCATCGTGCATATCAATTACTTTAGCCCAAAAGTCACGGGAAACGCTATAATTAATTTATTGATAATAACAAATACGACAATTTAATTATTACTAAATAATTATCACGTCATATTGTAAAAGTAATTATAAAGTTTAGATTACTAACCTTATTAATTATTAATAATATAATTTATAATGATTTAGTTATGATAATTTATTATAAATTGATATTTAAAAATTACTAATAATAAATATTCGCAATTATAATATTTTCAAAAATGATTGTTTACTTCAGTTTTAATTTTTTAATTACTTGTTATACTGGATATTATAGTTAGATACATTATTTGTTTAATGAACTAGTTGGTTTGAGAATATACCATCAGTTGAGAATGTGGTATAAAAATAGACGTCTTGCTATAATTTTATTATTCTATATCAACTAATGTAAACTTAAAAGGTTGCAAACGTTATGGGGTACAGTATAACTTTTTGTTATCAAAAATGTTTCATGGCAAATATTATGATAAAAATATTTAAACAATTTGTCAAAAACAAGATTGTAGATATAAATACGAATAAATATTGTTGTTAGTTAGTTTTCCAAAAACATTAATTATATTCTCAATGATTTATAGAATATTAATACTAATTGAATAAATCTAACATACCGAGTTTGTACTAATATATAAATACAATTTATGTCTATTATATTTATAATTTTATATATTAACAAATCTATACCATATTATTTCGCCCATGTTAATTTTTGATTGCTTCCCAGCATCATCTAGGTACCCAAGGAAACGATCACGTAGTTTTTTGGTATCGGCCAGTTTAGCGTTTATAATGGGTGTGTATTTCAACATTTTGTCATCGGGCAGTTTGCAAAAAATGTTAAGTTTCTCGTAGAATTGAATGGTAGGACTCTCCAGCATCACTTCCCGGATCTTTGGTTTGAGGTACCCTGCCCATTTCAAGCCGGTTACTAAATCCCAGAAACTGCAATATATAATTAAATATCAATTTATTGTAATATTATTTATCATAGTATTAATACTATTTTACAGGATCCGCAAACGACCCACACACCCGCCCCTTCATTATCACTTTATGCATTTACGTATTTTTATTTCAAATAACCAAACATTATATACATTAACATTGAACACTTTGGGGGAGGCGTTGATAGAATATGTTTTGTAAAATCACAGAGGGAACATATTGTTTGTCATTGTTAAAATTTAATGTATACAGTACGAGCCAGAATTGCCTTTACAAACAAAAGCATACGGGGATTATCAGCGGATTATCTTAACACAAAACAGTGCAATATTTTTCACATATACATCTCAAAAAGGGTTGAATTTGGAATATATGTGTGAAAAAATTACACTATTTATGCCATTATAGTTAATGCTAGTTAATCTTTCTAGCGTTTCTTTTGTAAAGGCAATTCTGACCCGTACTGTACATCCATCATTGTATAACAAATAATAATATATAAATTTAATTTTATTGCTATTTATACTAGTATGAATGTATACATTTGATGTGACAAACCTATGGGAAAACTATTGATGTTTCTCAATAGATGTTTCTCTCTGTGATTATACAAAACATATTGCTTGGTACAATTACAGTAAGTACCATTTGTTTTCCCCTACTTGGTATTTTTATAAAACACAATTAGTTAATTTAATTTAACTATCAAATCAATTAAATTTGTATACTTTTGAACTGTCAATTCAAAGTGTGGTTTAAATACTACTAAATAACACTCATATTTAAATTTTATAATTTACCTATCAATTAATATTTACAAGTTTGTAAAACATGGCAGATTTTAAGTGAATCAAAAGTATTCCACCAAAACTAAACTAATAGATTAATTACAATTAAAAGTTGTTAATTGTTATAAAATTTTTAATGAAGATATTTGTTATATTGTTGGCCAAAGTTTCCAAAAGTAATTTGTTAAATTTTAACCACGAGTGGCTATCGTCGCCGCACCATAAATAGCATTAAACCGAATGGATCGGTAATCTAACGGACCCGTTAGCACTGGCCATTGATTACAATAAAATTATAAGGCAATGAATTTGTACATAAGATGTGCATGTATCAATTGAAATAGTGATTTGTGATTTCTATTCACACACTGTCCCGTTCCAGACTTATAACCGAACCGACCCCCAAAACCCCTATTGAAAAGCATTACGGGAAATGCTTGATGTTGGTTATAGGTCTGGAACGGGACAGTGTGTGAATAGAAATCACAAATCACTATTTCAATTGATACATGCACATCTTATGTACAAATTCATTGCCTTATAATTTTATTGTCCGGATCAAATTTTTCATGATCAAATATATTATATTATGATAAATTACTCATAAATTAAAAGTCAATCAATCAGTTTATGATTTTACAAGTGTTTTATTTAATATGTCTAAAAAATCTGTAATACGGCATAACATATTTGAATACTACTCACAGTCTACCCGTGCCTTTAGTATCGCCCAATTCATTGCACTTTTCTTTAATGCTTTCCAACTTTTCCGGTGTTTCGACTCCATTGCCATATCTCTCAAAACGTGTGGATATTATATCAATGGCCGCTTCTTCCTCTTCATATCCACAATATATAACACCTAAGAGTCATATCATTATAATTAATACATATACTATCAACAAATAGTTCTCACTCCCGTATGGATTGTGTCACAAATCTGTTCACTTCGGCTAAAACTACACGTATTGTCCGATATTCACCGATTCCTGT